CACCCAAAACGTCAGCTTTCCTGCTCCTCTGATGCTGCTTGGCCTGCTGTGTTCATCCAGCTCTACACCTTGTTATCTGTAATACCAAGGATGTCTTCCTTTACAATAGATTAAAAGGAGGGTCTTATGCCTTCTGGCAGCTCGACCTTCATTCAATGGAACTGAAATCATGCATGGCCTTTGTCAGAGGATACAAGGTCGGTAATCAGCTCAAGGGGAGGTGATGGCCTAGTGGTATTATTGCAGGACTGTTAATCCAGAGACCCAGATAATGTTCTGGGGACCCAGGTTCGAATCCCGCCACGGCAGATGGTGGAATCTGAACTCAACAAATACCTGGAATTAAGAATCTAATGATGACCATGAAAAACCTCTGTCCTACTAACTCTGGTTCACCGATGTCCTGTAGGGAAACAGTCATCCTTACCTGGTCTGGCTGACACATGTCTCCAGACCCACAGCAATGTGGTTGACTCTTAACTGCCCTTGGGCAATAAATGCTGCCTAGCAAGCGGCACCCTCATGCCATGAATGAATGAAAAAAAAAAGGGACAAATACAGCAAGGATTTACACTGCACATAGAAACAAGAGGCGGGTTGTACACCCCATATGGTCATATGGTTGCCCAAAAAAAAAAAACTCTACAGAAAGGGACACTGGCTAGGGTTTTACTCTGTTAATAAATGGAAAACCACCATACGGGTTAAGGCGTGAACAGTGGGTTATATCCATCCATCAAACTGCACTAAAGACCAATGAATAGCTCAAGTCTTGTTCAATACAAAGTAACTTAGCTTCTAATAGCATGGCAAGTCAATTACTACTGCAGAATCTTTCTGTACCCAAAAATTAATTTTGTAACTGCAGAACAAAAAAAAACTAATGTTGCACATTTTTAATTCTTTAAATTTTTTTTAAAAAAAATGCATCTATTTCAAATTTTTCCCCCCTCAACTAGCAAGTCACAATCTTCATCTCACTTTCTACAAAATGACTTAACTGTAACTTATATTTTCTGCCTATAACTTTCTGCTTTCATGTCTGTGAGGATTCTTCACCATGACTGGCTTATCAGCCTTCTTGCAGCCTGTCCTGTTCACACTGGCCACATTTTCCACGCCAAGGGAGCTTAAATCATTGAATCAAACAGAGAATGCTGGAGAAACTCTGCATATTTGCCAGCAGCTGTCAAGAAAGAAATAAGGACAATTAACGTTTCAAGTCCAGAATATATCTTCTTCAGAAATGAAAGATGACGATAGATGAGGTTTCTTCTATGTTTACGTTTTTTTAACCTGACTCAAAGCACGTACTCTGTTTCTCTCCACATGGATGCTGCTAGATGTGCTGAGTTTTTTTTTTCCAGCATTTTCTGCGTTTGATTCAGATTTGCAGCATCCACAATACTTTGTTTTTAACCAGTGATATCATTGAAATTGCACAAGAAATCTGAGCTCTACAGGTCCCCTCAATCTTTGTGGAGACCTTTTTTTAATAAGCAAAACCAGTGACTCTATATGAATCAATCAAGCAAGTAATAAAGATGGACAGCTAGGGCTTTAAATATAAAGAAAAATAAGAGAGAAGCCAAAGTGAGCATAGACACCTTAGAGAATGAGGCTGGGGAATTAATAATAGAGAACCAGGAAATGGCAAAGGAGTTGAATAAATACCTTGCATCAGCCTTCACAGTAGGTGACACCAACAGCAATCCAAAATTACTAAGTATTCAGAGGGCAAAATGAAGAAAGGAAATAAACACAATAACTATCATTACAGCAAACTGCTAGGGAAATTAATGGGGCTAAAAACTTAAGCACCCTGGACCTAATGAGATGTATCCTAGGATATTAAAGGAAGTAGCTATAGAGACAGTTGGTGCACTGGTAATAATCTTTCAGGAATCCTTAGATTCTAGAAGTCTCAGAGAATAGGAAAAGTGGCAACCCAACACCTACACTATTTAAAACGGGAAAGGAGACAAAAAAAAAAAAAAAAAAAAAAAAAGGTACTTTAGGACTTCTGAAGGACAGTCCCGACCCAAAACGTCAACTTTCCTGCTCCTCTGATGCTGGCTGGCCTGCTGTGTTCCTCCAGCTCCACACTGTTATCTCTGATCCAGCATCGGGAGTTTTTACTACTTCTACTTTAGGCCAGTTAGTTTGACGTACATTATTTGGAAAACATTACATTCTATTATAAAGGATATAGTAGCAGAGCATTTAGAAATACACATTGTGATCCAGGAAAGTCAGCATGGCTTCATGAAGGGAAATCATGTCAGACAAATTTACTAGAATTCTTTGAGGTGGTAATAAGCAGGATAGATAAAGGGAAACAGTGGATGCATAATATTTGGATCTTCAGAAAGTATTTAATAATGTACTACACATTAGGCTACCTAAAAACAGTCCATGGTATTGGAGATAGCATATTAGCATGGATAAAGGATTGGCTAACTAATAGAAGACAGAAGTTGGGATAAAAGCAACATTTTCAGGATGGCAACCTGTAACTCGTGGTGTGCCACAAGGCTCAGAGCTGGTACAATTACTTACAATACATATTTAAATGACTTGGATGAGAAAAGTGAATGTACTATTGCCACATTCCTGAATGACACAAAAATAGGTAGAAAGGCAAGTGATGAGGATGACACAAAGTGTCGGCAGAGGGATCTAGGCAGGTTAAACGAGTGGACAAAAAATATAGCAGATAGAATAGACTGGGGAAAACTGTGAAGTTATGCATTTTGGCAGAAAGAATAGAGAAGCCGAATATTATTTAAATGGAGAAAGACTCCGTGAAGCTATAGGGTACAGGGATTTGGGAATCCTTCCCCGTGAATCACAAAAAACCAGCATCCAAGTTCAGCACATTATAGGGAAGGCAAATGGAATGTTGACCTTTATTTTGAACGGCATGGAGTATAAGAGTAGGGAGATTTGCTAAAACTATACAAGGCATTAGTCAGACCACATCTGGAAGACTGTGAACAGTTTGGGCTCCTTACTAGCATTGGAGGTAGTCCAAGGAAGGTTCACTAGGCTGACACCAGATATGGAGATTGAGTAGATTGCACTGGTACATATTGGAATAAGGAAGATTGACGGGTGACCTTATTTAAACACACAGATTCTTAGGGAACACTACAGGGTTGGTTTGGAAAGATTGTTTCCCTGTGTGGGAAGGTCTGGGACCAGAGGGGAGAAAATAGTTAAGATAGAGATGAGAAGGAATTTTTTCTCAGAGGGCTGTGAATCTGTGGAATTGTTTAATGCAGAGGGCTGTTAAGGCTGGGCCATTAAGTATATTTGAGGCTGAGAAAGAGGGGTTTTTTTAAGAAGTCAGTAAGGGAATCAAGTGCTATGGAGAAAAGGCAGAGAAGTGGCATTAAGCATCATCAGATAAGCCACGATCTCATGAAGGCAGAGTAGACTTGATGGGCTGAATGGTCTACTTGTGCACCATCTCATGTTCTTATTCCTTTACTGTTGACCACAGAACCTGAACCAGTGTTTGACTCCAAGATTAGATTTTTCCAGTTAACTTCTGCTAAATACACAAAGTGCCACTAACTGTGGCAAAAAAAAAATTAGTCTTCAATTCAAATGACTGGAACCCAAAGTAACACAGTAAATGACTCGTGATTATCAATTGTCTACCACTGAACAAATTACAAACGCACAACTTCCACGGCACAACTTGAAATAGTGAGGTAGCACGTTCATCAGGGCTTTTGACCTGCTGTGATACCTTCCAAATTACGGCAGATAAGATTGCTTTAAATACTGGGGGCTCCTGTTGTGGAGCAGAAGAACACCCCCATTACACAACGTCAGAGGTTCGTCCACTCAAGGAAAGTATATGTGCAGTCAAAGCAAGGTGCTTAAAATTTCTTGATCTAAAAAAAGCAGTTGGCAAAGTTTTATCATCTGGAGTTTTAATTCTTTAACCAGTTACTTTCCTTCAAGCTCTCTGTTAAAAGTATGGACTTGCACTGCTGTTGTCTCATTGGAACCAACCAACTTCCACTACTTGACTCAATGGCTATCTTTGTGCATGTGCAGTAACTGTCAGGTCGCTATCAGATCCAACACAGCCTTATCCACTCACTTTTTCCCCACTAATCCACAAAGCTTCTTCTTTCTTAAGCATTTATTCAATTCTCTTTTGAAAGTTCACATCGACTTTGGTTCCATTTATAATTAGCGTAAATAGGTACTTGATTACCATTGCAGGTTTGATGGGCAGAAAGGCCTTTTTCTGTGCTGTAATACACTATGACTATGACAACTAGTCAGGCTATCCCTTCATGACCTTTTTCCCGCCACACTTCTCTGTATTAAATTTGCCTGGTTTCTGCCCATTTCACTAGTCTCAGTCCTCCTGCAGAAACTATCTTCACTACTTAAAAAAAAAACTCTAAATAAGAAAAAAGGTCACTGGACCCAAAATGTTGACTTTGCTTTCTTTCCTCAGATGCTACCAGACCTGTTGAATTTCTCCAGCAATTTCTGTTTTTGTATCTTCACTACTTACTAGTTACAAGTTTTTCCATGTCTACAAAGCATGAAATTATACCCTCTATACCCACGTCCAGGTCAACAATATGTATCACGTTCCCATGCCTTGAAGCACCTTATCCTAGGCATTTTACAGCCCCAATTAATTTGACTTTTCTTTAAAGTAAATGTAAAAGCTTGAGAGACAGATTCTCTTCAGAATCCACATTTTCTAGGTTATCAATCCTCAAATTATATATTAAATATATGATTATATATATTAAATCTATATTTAAATTTAGTATAGACAAAGTTCGGGTTTCTATTCTTGAATCTTCAAGGATTTGGAGTGGTTTTAAAATGGCTGTTGGTGTGGTGTTCCTTGCTGAGTTGTGTAACTTGCTGGTAAAGAATTATTTTGCTGAATTGGTAAGAAAACACTCCCTGCTTGCATTATCCTGACCAAGCCCACTTGTCAGCCCAGCAATACATGGAACTCTCTTTAAAACTTTTCAGTTGAGGCTCCAAAATCAACAGCTGTTCACATGTGGAACCACATGATGCTGGATTTGTCTACAAGAATCTGAAGCTAAGATGTAATAACTGTAAGCCCAAAATCAGGTGATGTTAGTGAGTTAAAGGAGAAAAATAGGGGGATATATTGCTAAATATTCAAATGAACAAGTCTGTGGCTTTTTTTAAAAAATGGAATGCCAATTCTCTTGGCAAGAAACAATAACTATGGCTGGAAGAACCAAATCACTAGACAGTTGAGTGTATTGTGATGGTCTCTTCAGTCAGACCTTTCAACAAATCATTTGGATTTAAAAAACACATTTCAATGCCTTTCACCATGAAAAAAAGGCAACTCTGTTCTGTCTCATTATTTTTGACAGCAAATCTCAATTCTTACCTGATGTTAACAACTCTGCACATGACAGTTGGTGAATCTGGGAGGGGTTTCAGTGTTGGTCCTGATCAGTTAATGAAAATGTCAGAACTAGAATTTGCTCAGCTCAAGTTATTTTTATTTGTCTTGTCTCTCATTATTCACTCAACTCTTAGTTCAGTCATGAATTCCAAAGTGTTCACATATAAACTAAACACAACAAATGCAGGTGACTCTAGCACTTCATAAGTCACTTATTTCCCTTTTGGCATTCTTCCTCATTAACTAGGTTAATACTGAAAGACAAAGAGAATATTTTCTCAATGGTATGATACTAGGGACTATGAAGGAACAAAGCAATTTAGGTGTTAGTGTACAGAAATAACTGAAAACTAATGTAAAAGGTGATTAAAAAAAACACTAAAAGATTGTTAGATTTAATCTAGTGCAAATTTGCAGAAAAGGAAGTAGTGTTTCAATTACATATCTTTGATCAGTCCCCACATGGAGAACTATATTTGGTATTGGATACAGAACCTCAAGTAGTATATTGCCTTTGGAATTCATTCACCAGAATACCAGGGCTTAAAGAATTAAATTATGAGGTCATGTACTAACTGTAGTTTGTATTTCCATAAGTTTAGAAAGTTGATGCGGCATTTAATTGAGGTGTTGAAAATGTTAAAGGGGCTTCATAGGGTAGATACTGAGAAACTATTGGTCCTGGTTGGAGAATCCCAAGCGAAGATACTAAAGAATATGCTCTAACGGTCATCTAGAATCTTCTATTCCCAACTGGTACTTTGCACCAGCTCAACAGGAAATTCAAACTTCAACGTTAAATTTCTCACAGTGGCAGTTCAACAACATACTAGAGGCAGACAAGCAGAGTGCAAGTGAAAGAGTATGAGCGTGCTAGCAAAAGCATGCACAAGAGTGAAACGTTAAGACGAAGAGACAGAGATAGAGAAAGATGGGGAGAAAGACTCACACTGGGTCCTGACTTGGTCCTCAAGTATTTCTTGCATTCCAATTCTGCAAGTGACAGTTTATCTAAAACTGTTATGAATGCAGTTTTTTTCAAAAAATTCTGCTTCTGTACATCTTCAAAGGAATCTCAATGAGACACAAATGTCTGACTCAATTCCAGTTAGCATTCAGTTCAAGCACCAATTTTATGGTGACTGGGAGCTCAGGAGAAGCGTCTTAGCATGACATTTCAAGGATGGCAAAAGGGATAAATTACAATAAATTTGCAGCATACACCAGCCACTGTTAATTTACTAATTTAAATGTTAAATAAATCTGTCTGCATATCAGTTTATAAACCAACAAATCTAAAGACTATGGTGTGGCAATACGTATTCCAGTAAGTCAGTATATAGTGGAGAAAAAAAGATCATAGTTTGATTTATAAAAAAAACTTGCTAATTTACTTTTGGGCAGATAAAACATACCCTGATTAACAGAAGAGATGAAATCTGTTCATGAAGTTGTCATTGACAACTGAACCCAAAGTAGTACGAATGTCAAATCCCAAAACAACTATACTCAATTCACCTAATTACCACTCAATGATACTCCAATGTTTACGACCACAGGGAGTTTAAACATTTGCTAAACTTGTTCCATGAATGCATTGTTACAAGTGTTCTAAATGTATGTCCACATATCAGAAAAGAGCACACAGAATGTAATATATAGAAGTTAAATATTTAAAAAATTAGGAGGCGTTCCAGGTTTATAATACAGAAGGAATAATTTCAAGGTTATGTTATCTAAGGCATAACAATTATGAAATAATGTAAACAAAATAAATAGAACTTTAAGATAAATAAGTAGAAATAGAAATGAGTGAAAAAAAAATTAAAACTCATCCAAAATAAATCAAAAACCAACACATATTTGGAGTAATTTGCAAAGCACGATAACAGAGTGAAACATGTGGGAGTTTACAAAATACAAGAGTGGCAAGGGAATAGCTTTGTGATAACAAAGGGGTGAATTTTGGTGGGTTGGATCCCCTTTCCTCATTCTCAAATTTTCCTTGTGTACATAAAATTGGTCACGGAATGCAGATGTTAGTGAGATAATCCTAATAATAAAGGAAAGATTATGGTGGGCATTGGGCTTTGATAGGTCACTTGATTTATTAGCAACCTTGATCACAAGATGGTAATACTGTTTTGTATTCTTTTATAAGCTAAAACTTTAACGTTGCTATGTTCTGTTGACTTGTGAACACTGTGCCTTTGAACCCACTCTAGGACTTGAACTATATAATCCAGGTTGACACTTCAACGGTGTTCTATTGTTAGAGCTGCCAATTTCCATATAAAATGATAAATTGAGACCCTCTCTGTTGGTGAGATTGATGTACAAGAGGATCAGAGAATTCTCTGGTGTCTTGTCCCCAGAAACTTACATTACTAAAAAAACAAAATTGTCGTTCAGTTTTGATCATAAAGACTCACTACTTAGAAACTGGCTGCTGCTTTAGCCTATAGTGGCTGCACTTGAAATAGCAAACTGGCCGAGGACTTGATAGATACAAGTTATTTCTTTCTATCAAGATCCTATAACAGTGTGATTTGAGCTCTCTTACCTCATTCCTTCTGTTGATTTGTTCTCATAGTTGCGATACAGTTGTGGTGTGCCAAGCATTGCCTCGGTAAAGACAGCGAAGAAGCCAAGTGTTTCCACAAAGAGTGAAGAATCAATAAGGAGGTAGGTTATGTAGGCAGCAACAACAGTGAAAGCCAAGACACACTGAATGTAATCAATAAATCTGCTCCACAGCCAGAAGTACTGCAAGTCAAAGTCTAAAAACAGAAACAAATTATTAATAGTAGCTAAGCAACTTATTTGAATTTTACCAGTTCCACTCATTATTTTAAATTTATGACCATATGACAAATTTGCCACAAGCCAATTGTGAAGAAGACAAATACAAACCAAGTATGTACCTCCCTTTATTTTTCCTGTTTACTTGAATGCCGTCATCTTTGCTTCTGTGGCAAGTATTTCCCTACTCGTTATTCTTCTTCCTGTCCTTTTACTGACTAGTATGAAGGTCACCAAAAATGGCAACAACTTTGTTAGCTTTTCCAAAGGGAATCCAGTCATAAATCTGTCTTCTAAATGAGGAGTTCTCTCTGCACTAAATTTGCACCCTTGACAACAACTTGCAGTTAAATGGCATCTTTGACATTGAACCAACGTACCAAAATGTTTCACAGAAGCACAATCTGGCAATAACTGATGCTGAGCCAAAGGCAGTGATATTAAAACAGTTGGTGTAAATCTTTAAGGAGGCTCTCTTAAAAAAGCTGGGAAGATGAAGATACAGGGGAATTTTGAGGAAAATTTTTGAGTAAACACCTGATGGCAAAGCTACAAATAATGATGCAAAGATAGAGGATCCATGAGATGCCAGATTTGGAAGAATTTAAGGAAGATTTTACAGTTGGAGGAGGTTAGAGCAAGGGGGAAATGAGGTGGGATTTAAATTTTAAAGATTTAATTGCCTTGTTTGAGGCCTGTTAGAGACTGAGGACTAATGGTTTGGCAGCTCAGCCTGGTGTACAAGAGAATAAGGTGTACATTTTTAGGATATGCTTATCTAAACAAACAAAAAAACAAACAGGCAGCTTTGGAAGTGGATGGCATGTTTGACGGGGCAGGAGTGTATAGCCTGGTGATGCTGCCACCTCACCTGGATGAAGTCTGTACGAGAAAGCTCAATAAAGTCCTTCCTGCCCATTCGATAATTTGGGGTCCTCAAGTGCAATTAATGTGATTAATATTAAAGGGCCTCAACTGTAGCTACTGGTATTCAATGAGCAGCAGGAAGGATTAACCATGTGAGGGCACTGACAAGCAAACCCTATGGGCCAAGTAGGGAGGTTTCCACATTCAATGACCAATCAAGTAACTCACATGGTGAAGGAGAGTGTCTGCTGACAGCCACGCCATATCCTTTCCTCCAACAATCCCCTCCCGGTGATCCCCACTTAACTGCCTCCAGGAATTCACTGATATTTCCTAGTGAAGCCTGAAGCATATTAGAAAGTAGCCACTAGTCCCAGTGGTGTTGTTAATAACAGAGACCTGCAGACTTCTGAGGAGCTGACAGATCTGGAGGGGCAGGATTTGCTGTCTATTGGTGAAGTCTGGAAGTAAATGGTTCCCCACTGTGGGGCATTTAGGGCCTTCACCCCTCAGCCTTTAGAGATCAGGTTGACAGGATGCCACCAGTTTAGTGGCAGGCATCAGGTCCCTAGCAATGCTTGATAAATTCTGCCCCAAAGTGACGGCCTTGAATGCTTTAGTTTTTGAGAGGATACTCTTTTTGATCACCTTTATTAACCAGGGGCGGTTAATCCTTCTCAGCAAGTTCTTTTTAGATCAGAATTTTTTTTTTTGCTGATAATGAAATATCTGCTCAAATGTCTGCAACTTCTCATTCATTGACTTCCCTCTTAGTCTATTTTCCCAACTCGCTCGAGATACCTTTTGTTAGACATCCAAATCTTTTTGCTCTCTTACTCTTGGGGAGTTCTGCTTAAGAAACTATTTTGATTTACCTTTCCCAAACCTCACCCATTGACTACCGCTAATTTGTCCACACTCTTGCTATTTGCTGTTTCTTATGTAACTACAATCAAAATTACATGTGTTGGCTACATACACAGGTGACATTTAATTACAAGGTGAGGTTACAGTTCGGTGGTGAAATGCACTGAATGCAGCACGTGCGGGCAGATTATGAAAAAATCTTCTGGATAATCAGGGAGACTGTCCATCACTGCCACAACTTGCCTGCCCAAATCCATCACCATTAACAAAATATCTATGGAAAGAACAAAGATGGCACAGATGTTCTTCAAATTTAAGTTTTACTTGTAAATATTTCATATGACATTGATTTCACCTTATTCATGCATCCATCGTTAGTTGTCGAAATTAGCGTAATCAGAGGTAAAAGTAGTGGTGTACCTAATGGTTACCACACACTCATGGTGACAGGGAGTTAGGGATGCACCTTTAATTGTTTTCTGAAATATTTTGTGCATGGGATTCATTCTTTATTGGATGTTCACATTAATTTCCAGTGCAATACTTGTCATTTTATGGGAGATAGCTGAACTGCCAGGGACCAATCTATGTATTGAAAAGAACATTATCTCAGATCACATTCTGTAAGGATAAGTAAACATGTGGGGTCCTGTAAGGATTCTGCCAGCCAACAGCCTGAAATGAATCTACATGGGAACAGTGCTGACACTGCCCTTTATGACTATAATTTTTTCTAAACCTTGACTGGCTGTTGCCACTGGCTCCAGCACAGGAGACGCTTCCCATTTCACTCCTCCATGCTGCCAACCTTATATTGTGTCCTCCTTTGGATTCTGCTTCCACTCCTCCATGCATCTGGCACCATTACACACCACCCTTACCAAAACACTACTCGCTCTTGCCAGTTACAAGCCTCCATGCAAGCTACCACTTTCTTGCTCCTGGTGTAGTGCTGAACCAGTAACCTCAGACACAACTAACCAAAATCAACTAATGCCCGCCACTTTTAAATCAATGCATATTGGTGGAGGGATCAAAAATTTGATGTAGGTGCCCAATCTTGCACACGATAGGGTTTACTTGGGGGAAGGGGAAGGGGAAGGGTGTTGGTCCTTCAGGTTGGAGTTGTGCCAGCTGGGTCTTGGGGCTGTTTTCAGGGGTTGGGGTGGAGAGAGCACTCGCTGAGTGCTAATTTGGGGATTCATTGTAATATTTAACCAGTATTTAGAACAGTATTTTACTTTTACAAATTTTCCTGGGAGACTATTACACTTCGTTTGAATTGGATTCTCTGAAAATACCTCTTACAGTTGGAAAATTTAGTGTGTTCTTGGTACAAAGGAATTGCCCATCAAATATCTCAATTCCCTGGGCGATTCCCATAGAGTCTGCTGTATCAGGAATTCCGTGCGGTCCCATTCATTTTGCCTGCTAGTTACCAAATCCTCTAGTCATGCTGAATTACCCTCAACAGCATGAGCTCATCTTGTGCACTAATCCTTTATATGATACCTACTGAATACCTCTGGATTTACATCTAGTGGTTCCACTTTATCCACCTTACTTGTTACATCCTTAAAGAATTTTAATAAAGTTGTCAAACATGATTTCTCTTTCACAGAACATTGCAGACTCTCCCTGAATGTACTGTAATTTTCTAAAGGTTCTACTATGACCTCCATAATAACGGATTCTAGAATTCTTCCAGCGATAGGTGTTAAGTCACATATCGTCAATGTGCTGGGATATTTCTAGAATTTAGGGAATTTTGGAAGAATACAATAAATACATCCATCATGCTACAATGCTAGGCCAGGGAACATGCAAAATTGATGTGGGTTCTAAAATGGCAAGCCCTTGACTTACTTGGAAGACGTCACCCCTGTATGATAATTAAGAGCAAAGAGATTGGGAAAGTTACTTCCAAGATAGGACCATAGATTTGTACACTCATGCAGTCTGGTATGCACATAGCAGCCCATGGAATTAGCATCTTATTAGGAAGATGTTGTTCTTGAAAACAGCAACCAAATATGAATTATTTTTCTATAAATACGGGTATGGGTAATTGCTGGCATGACAATACTATCTGATGCAAGCCAGAGCAGGAAGGACACTCTGCATCCCTTTCATTAATATTGCGAGCACCACACAGATATACACATACTTGCAGGACAAGTCTAGCTCCTCTCACCCACCTTCCTGCAAGAATGCGATCCCCTAATCTCAATTCCTCTGCCACATCTGCTCCCAAGATACATTCCAATGTATCATTCTCCGCCACTTCCGCCATCTACAATCCGACCCCACAACCAAAGAGATATTTCCCTCCCCCACCCCTATCTGCCTTTCGTAGGGACTTCTCTCTCCGCGACTCCCTTGTCCATTCCACACTCCCGACTAGCCCCACCATCCCCAGGACCTTTCCCTGCAACCGCAAGAAATGCTATACTTGCTCCTACACCTCCCCCATCACCTCCATTCAAGGCACAAAACAAATCTTCCACATTAGACAGGAGTTGACCTGCACATGTGTCAACTTGATCTACTGCATCCACTGCTCCCGATGTGAACTCCTCCACATCAGCGAGACCAAACTGAGGCTTGGAGGCCATTTTGTACAGCATCTGCACTCTGTTCACAACGAACATCATCTTCTAGTCGCGAACCATTTTAACTCCCCCTCACACTCCCTGGGTGACATGTCTATCCTGAGCCTCCTCCAGTGTCACAACGACACCATCCGCAAACTGGAGGAGCAGCACCTCATATTCTGCCTCGGGAGCCTACAGCTCAATGGCCTAAACATGGATTTCACCAGTTTTAAAATCTCCCCATCCCTGGCCTCAACCCATGTCTAACCCTCCCTCCCATCCCGGCCTCCTTGACCTGACACAACCTGTCCATCTTCTCTCCCACCTCACTGACCAATCCCCAACACTCCTTACCTGCACTCACTTATCACCATCCCACCTACCTTCCCCAGCCCCACCTCTCCTCTCTCTATTTATTTCTGAGCTGCCTTCTCCCTCCCCATTTCTGAAGAAGGGTCCCGACCCGAAACGTCAACTTTTCTGCTCCTCTGATGCTGCCTGTCCTGTGGTGTTCCTCCAGCTCCACACTGTTATCTCAATTTAACCCTCACTGTCTTAACTGAATAACTGAATTTTTTTTTTTTAAAATCAGCAGAATCCAACAGATTGTTTATTTTTAAACCACCTTACAGTTTTGCTAGTACTAGGAA